TTAAAAGGGGTAAGAGATAATTTAATGTTTCTATGGATAATTTAAGTATAAAGATGTATTTTGATGAAGTTTTAAAGGATTTTTGATTAGTTTAAAATGTTGGAATTTTATTTAGGAAAATTTGTAATTATTAATCCCAACTTTCGCCCATTTCCTTTCATTAATCCCAACTTTCGATTATTATTGAATAATCCCAACTTTGGGGGGCATTTTCTTTTATCAGGTCAAATGGCCGGTGACCTGATTAAAAGGTAATTTTTTTAATTTTTTTTTCTTACATGCCACATTTTGCAATTTCATTAGTTGATTTTTTTTTAAAAAAAAAAATTTTAAAACCAAACCCACCAGCACCATAGCCCCACCACCTCCTTCCTTAACACCACCGGAAACCACCATCTCCTTCCCCTACCCCACTGAAAACCACCGCAACCTCACCCCCGTCGCCGACAACAACCCCCAAGCCACCATTTTCACCCCTCGTCGCCGAAAACAACCCCCAAGCACCGCAACTCCTCCTAAACGCATCTCCACCCTTCACCCCGATCTCCCTCATCCACTCACGAAAACCACCAATCTCCCCCCCCCCCACTCACGAAAACCCTAACAACATGGTGGGGAAGGGACATTTGGTGTTTTTCGTAAGTGAGGGAGGGAATTCGCGCGGCTGGTTTCAAGGGGACGGTGGTTTCAAGGGCCGCGGTTGCGCGGCTGATGATGTTGGGGGTCAGGATTCGCGCGGCTGTTGGTTTTTGAGGGTCGAGGTTCGCGCTGCTGGTGGTAAAGGGGGTCGAGATTCGTGCTGCTGGTGGTAATGGGGGTTGGGATTCGCACTCCTGGTAGTAATGGGGCCGAGGTTCGCGTGAACCAGCTGTTTTAGAGGTCGTGGTGGTGCGGCTGGTGGTTTTGGTGGTCGAGGTTCGTCGATCGGTTGGTTTTGGTGGCCCAAAGGCAGTGGCCGACGAGTTTAGGGGTGGGGGTTATGTTTCACGGTGGTAAAAGGGTGGCTGGGATGTTAGGGTGGGGGTTAGGGTGTGGTGGTCCGGTAAATGGAAAGGAGAGGTTTGGGTTTTTTTTTTTTTCAATTTTTGTAATTTTTAATTTTTTTTTTACCAATCAGGGCTTGACACGTGTCAAGTTACTTGTTATAATAGGTCATTGACTTTTATTGACCGGTCATGACCTGATAAAAGAAAATGCCCCCCAAAGTTAGGATTATTCAATAATAATCGAAAATTGGGATTAATGAAAGGAAATGGGCGAAAGTTGGGATTAATAGTTACAAATTTTCCTTTTATTTAAAGTAGTATAATTGTGATTTTTAATAAAAGGGTGTGATTATCCATTAAAAAGGAGTTTAATTAGGGGTTTTTAAATAATTTTCAGATTATTATAAGTTATTTAAAGTGAGTTTAAGTTGCTGGAAATTATGTATACCAAGGTAATTAATATAGGTTTATTGTCCCTTTATGTAGGAGACTTGGTTCGAGAGGTGTTGTAGTGTAATTGACCATTTTAAGAGCTTAATTGAGGTACGTACGCGTACTTAGCATATTTTGATGATGTAGAATCATGCTAGGTTTGATTTCAATCAATTACAAGTAGTATCATGCTAAGGTTTATGTATGGAATTGTGAATTTATGGTGTTTGTGATTGAATTGTGAAGCATGAATTATTTGTGATGGTTATGGATTGGAAAATTATATTTTGGGCATGTTGTTTTTGAACCACATTTTTATTTATGGCATGTTAGAAGGCATGATTAATTAAACTACATGTTTAATTATGTTTGGAATATTGAAAAGGAATGTTATTATGGTTCAAATAATTTTTATTGATGCTTTAAGCATGAGGAAGGAGCTATATAAGTGTCTATGTACACAAAGAATAAATTGTATGTTGGTGCCTTTGTGCACTTAAGGTGTTTTTAACACCAAGGGATAGGATTTTTGGCGCATTATGCGTTTAAGGTGTCTTTAACACTGAGGTAGAATTAAAAAGGGTTCAACATTAAATAATATGTGGTCACTAAGTGTTCAAGAATTAATTTGGTATGTTTGGTTGATTGAATAATTATTGTTGATTGTTTCTGATGCTTTGAGAGTCATCACCAAGTCCAATAAAAGGTAAATACCAAAACTCTTGGAACGTATATACCTTGAGTATGAACAATGGGGGGAGTTATGGGGTTTTATATTTAACCATAACTTCTAATGGAGTACAGGACGTTGTATATTCCTTTTTTTATTTATTATTATGCGCAGGAATTCCGCCACCTTTGAGTGGTTTTGTCGCTGGCACGGTTAGCTCCCGTGTCAGTTAACCTCAAATTTATTTGGGGGAGGCTAGGAGGTGGAAACCCGTTCGATGCGTAATCAACGCAAAATGAATTAATTAGTGTCTAGTCATTGTGTCTTGTTGATTGGTGTGTATGCTTGTGAACAGGTGCAATGAGGTAAGTGTGTGTTGATAGGTGAAAGCATGTTAGTGTGGCTAATTTACGCTTATGTACTCAGCTTTGCTGATTGTGTGTGTTTGTGTATTTGGCCATGTCTTTACCTTGGCCCTATGATGACCCATTTCTAATAGAGAGTAGTGGAAACAAGTAGAGATAAACTTTTCAGGTATTGAAGCATGATCATGATGGGGCATGAGAGAAGAGTGAATCTTACTAGTTTTCATTAGGTTACAAGGTGTTTTATGCTTTATTTATTTATGACATATTTTATGTGGACTAACACAAAGGTTTGGTTTTGGAACGGTTTTTGAATAAGGGCCTTTAATGGTTCCAAGTTGTATTTTGATTTTATTTGACTTTGTTGTTTGGTTTTAAACTTTATTTTCGTTTGGTTGACTTTTGAGTTGACTGGCTTAATTGGTTTTTAATTTTGAGTCTTCCGCTGTGTATCTTTGATAATTGTCTTAGCCGTTTTCACGGTGGCGGTAATGTCTTAGTTATTCCTAAATCGTGTATTTAAAAGAGTAGAATGGGTATTTAAAAGAAAGGAATTTCTAGGGTGTTACAACATATTTCATTAATTCAAGCCCACTAAGAACATTTATGACAACATATAATGATCGTATATGTTTACAAACGCCATTATCTGACCATGAGATGTATCCCTTAAAATATCAAGACTTTTCTACACCGGGCCCCGAAACCTCCAAAATGTTTCAAAAAGCATGTATATTAGGCTTGGATTTTGAATTTTTTTTATTTCTTTCGCCCGTAAATAAAAATTACCGAAATGTTTACCATGGTCCCTAATACCCTCCGGGAGTCCAATTGGATGGGTGAAACCATCCAGTTTGCTTTTAAACGACCAATTTACCTGTTTATAACTTGCACCGATTTCATTAATTCAAGCTTACCACGAACATTTATGACAACAAATAATGATCATATATGGTTCCAAACGACATTATATGACCCCAAGATGTATCCCATAGAATTTCAAGAGTTTTCGACACCGGGCCCCAAAACCTCCAAAATTCTCAAAAAACGTGGATATTAGTCTTCAATTTTGGAATTTTTTGACTTTTTTCGCCCAAAAATAAAAACTGTCGAAATGTTTACCATGGTTCCTAATATCTTCTGGGAGTCCAATTGGGTGTGTGGAACCATCCAATTTGCTTTTAAACGACCAATTTACCGGTTTACAACGGCAATTTAATTAACTTGCACTGAACCCAACTTGAACCGAAATTGACCCTAACCCATTTTAACCAGTCAAAACCCGAATTTAACCCGACTTGTTACTAACCTGACCTAAATTCAACCCGACCCGTTCCTAACGCGACTCGAATTTAACCCAACCTATTACAAACCCGACCCGAAATCAACCCGACTTGTTATTGACCTGACCCGAATTCAACCTGACTTGTTATTGACCCGACTCGAATTTTACCAGACTTATTACTTACCCGACCTAAAAATTCAATCCGATCTGTTACTAATCCGACTCGAAATTAACACGACTTGTTATTGACCCAACCTAAATTCAACCCAAATTGTTCTTGACCCGATTTCAAATCACCTTAAATGCAATTTAGACCACCTTATTATTCCTTATCAAAGCATTTTGTCTAGGGAGACCAAGTCGGTCCAGACCAACAAAAGAAAGGAGCATCATCCTCAAATTTAAGAGATATATATTTGTTGTATGGTTAAAGGAGATAATTATCTTCCTAAATTGTAGACTATAGTTCCCTAGTATATTTCCATATCTATTATAGTCAAAGGAAATAATTAGCTTGATAAAAATGATAATTATCTATTTATAGTTAGTTGAACCCGAATATGACCTGACTTGGAAATGACCCGATCTGATTGTAACCTGCAAATTATTGACTTTAACATAATCCGACTTGAATCTGAGAATGACCCACCTTGGAAATGACCCAACCTGATTATAACCCGCAAATTATTGACTTGAACCGAACCCGACTTGAACCCGAGAATGACCCGACTTGAAAATGACCCGACTGGATTATAACCCGCAAATTATTGACTTGAACCGAACCCGACTCAAACCCGAGAATAACCCGACCTGATTCTAACGCGTAAATTATTGACTTGAACCGAACCCGACTCGAACCCGAGAATCACCCTAACCCGTTTTAACCCGTGAAGAATTAAATCTGACTTGAATGTAACCCGACCCAAACCCGATAAGAAGTATGACCCGACTCAAGCATGTCCCAACCCAAACCCGACCCGCATAGGTTATGGAATTAATCCGAATTGACCCGACCCACTCTTACCCGCCCCGTTTACCCGAAGTAAGAGCTCTATTAGGGATATAACATTATAACAAGAAATTAGTACTCCGTAGGTAAAAATGCAAAGAGGGAAGATTAGGAGGGAAAAAACAATTAACTTTGGCGTTTGAAATGGGTAAGTTTTGGTTTTGGTTAATTCCCTCATTTGTACACTCGTATAAATATAACCACCCATAACATTAATTTCTACTGAGAGATCTGGCCTCTACGAAGTACCACTATGCCAAAGGGAGGAGGAGGAACCCGAATAACATCGTCTATTGGTCAACCCACTTCTTCAATTATGGTTTGTTTCCTTCCTTTCTCTCGTTTCGTTGCAACATTATTCCTGTTAACTCTTATGATTTCAATATGTGTTCAATTGTCAAAATAATTAAGATCATGCAATATCAGGAAGTTTGTACAAGTGATTTAATTTGTGATTTGAATAACTTTCATATTGATTTTTCGATAATTTTTTTAATAGGGTGTATGTAATTGTGCTACATGATGGTATGTGTATTTTGTTAGCATGTTGCTACTTGGATGGTTGTGGACTTATGGGTATATGCTTTTGAACGACATTTTAGATGAGTATGGTTGCAATTGGACAGTGTTGTGTTAGGGATGTGCACACTTTGGTACCTTTTTAGAAGAATGTATTACAAAGTATTATGCTACGTATCTTTATGTGCCGTAAATGTAGTTGTGAGCTTGTTCGGTTGGTTAAAGTCTTAAATGAGTGATACCTATGGACCATGTACGCTATTCAACAATCTTTTCCCTTTGTGGCATCCTAAGATACTCCACCCGCCTTTAAAAAAAGAAATAGAATTCCCTAAAATTTGATAATATGTTGGTTCAGTCTTGATTTCATAGAATCATAGACACAAGTTGAACCATGTAAGAATAACAGTTGTGTGGATTATCAACAAATTTTATTTAACAATTGTGTGGAGTATTAACTGAAATCGCGCAATGAATACAGAATACTTATTATATATCCTGTTCTTCTTCGGTTTCTATCTCTGCTTAATATTAGCTGTGTATACAATTATACATAGGTGAACGATCAACCTCAACAACACAGCTATGAGGATGTCTGGTCTCAGCCAAACTGGCCACCGCGTCTAGAGAAAGTGTTTGTGGAGTTGCTACTCGAAGAAATGAAACTTCAGTACTTTGAGGTCTGTGTTACTGGATTCTCTGAGCAAGTTTGGGATCATGTGACTGAAGAGTTCAGAAAAGAAACTGGTTTGGATTATGACAAGAAAGAGCTCAAGAAACACCTGGCTGTGTTGAAGAAACGTTATCGTATTGTGAAACCATTGTATACTCACCCTGGCTTTGGCTGGGACTACAGGCGAAAAATGGTAGATGTGGATGATGAAATGTGGAAGGATTACATCAAGGTATGCATCATAACATATAATCTGCTGTTTTCTGTCAACATATAAATACTCTGGTTGAAACTTGTCATTTTTATTTACTGGTGAACTGAATATGTATTGGTTTCATGCAGGTGCATCCTGAAGCTGCACCTTACAGAAAGTATAAATGTCCACTCTATAATGATTTATGCACACTATTTACAAAACCTAGAGCTACTGGACAGCATGTTATATCATTTGGAGGTGGGGGGAGTACTCGAGTCAATAACTCTAGTGCACGAGGCAGCAACAACAAACGTAAATCCTCTCAACCATTGGGTTCGGCTCCTGGGAAGAGAATAGCTACTGCTACTCAGAATACAGGAGTTGTAATTAAAATTAAAGGAACAAGGTTTAATAGTTGTAATTATGCATATGTAGTTTGGTTAATTATGATCAATTATCTTAGCATGAATCCCAAAAATCGCCGCTGTGAGCAGCTATTACCATCTAAACAAACAAAATAAAATCAGCCAAAGCCTTATTCTTGTAGTCAACATGAAGTAAAGAACAAAGTTTTGGAATCCTATAGAGTATAGACCTTTCTGTTAGAAATATATGAGGCCATCAGCAAGCAGAGAACAACAGGAAGATAAATTGGCATCAAAATTGTAAAATCAACAAGATCTGAATTGAATTACACTACATGTTACGCGTATATACTACTGCATAGATCATTCATATGCTGTGAGAATTAGCATGAAAGATTCTGATTTTGTAACAAACTGCAGAAATAACATCACATATATCCTGCTGACACATTGGTTGATTCTTTGCGATCATCCCAACTGCTTGCTGTCTTCCCAATTTTATGTATCACTCGTATCACCTCCTCCTCTGTGACATTCCCCGTCACTGTGACTTTGTTAAGCCTTGTATCGATGTTATAAGTTTCAATATCTAAACCAAGAAAATAGGGGAGAAAATCAACAACATAATAATGAAGTAGTGAAACAGAATTTCCTGAAAACAGGATGTACTGTTGATTTTTTCCAGTGTTATATCGTTCTTTACCTTCAATCTTCTTGATGGCCTTCAATATTTTTTTGATGCATTCATCACAATGCAATCCCACCTTCAACTCAACCATCTGAAAATGACGCGGAAATAATGGTGTTAAGTAATTAAAGATCATACAATAACTGAACAAGGAAAATAAGATTCATACTTACATTTGTCATAGTTGATGAATTACAATATACAAGTCTGTTGGTCTAAGAAAGAGCTAAGAAAATTAGTAAACACTAAAATTGCTAATGTTTTTGCAATTGTTAAGGCTTATACCTGTATATAAACATGACCATGAAGCCTGAGGTGGGGCATTAGATTCTTCTTTTCTGGTGATGATAATAGTAGTATAATCAACTTTAGGTAAAGGTGAAAAAATTCAATTTTATTCCTGCTTTTTGGACTTTAATTTAGGATGGTTCTTTCATACATACGCGTTTTATTATGGAGTACAGTTGAACAATCATGAGCAAGCAATTATGCATCATATTCACCTATCATACTCATCTATAATAAGGCCATTTTAGACATGTATATACTCCGTATATAAATACGATGGTTTGATTATGTATACGGGATAAAAAGGCCATCATAAGTTTTTATGTTAATCTATTTTATTCGACTATTGGTCTTGAGTAAAAGGTAAGAATATAAGACACATAATAAGTCACTTTTTAATATTTTTTTAAAAAAAATAAAAATTATGGGAAAAAACAATATAGTCACTTCAAATAAGCTGGTTTTACCAAAATTTTCAAATAGCGCGTTGTATTAGTGTATATACATTTTTTTTTTCAAAGCCTACTCGGCTACTCGACTTAGCTAGTAGTAACAATTAAAATTGAAGTGAGTACATGGCTATACTTCCAAAAGACTAAAAGTGAGTGCTAGCATGATCATTCTTCCAAAGATAAAAAGAAGCTATTGGCGTGTGCATGAAATAAAGCCTTTGTTTGGGCTAAAAGTGACAAGTTTTATCCTTATTTTCTTCTTACTGTCAAATAAAACAGAACAAATCAGTATTGATGTCTATGAGAATACCTTTTTTAGACGAAGTGCGCGGCAAATATCATGATGCTTGCATATCATAGACTCTTCTATTTTATTTAATGACCAACATTAATTTAGTACTTTATAAAGTTTGTATTAATTTTTTTTATTGAACTGATTTGCTTATGAATTTATGATAACTAGACTGTATCCATGCACGGGCAGGTCCGTTTCTGCGATTTTGGTGGCCTAGGGGCAAAAAAAAAAAAAAAAAAAAGGGGCCCTAATAGGTTAATGTATTAGGAAAAAAAAATCGGGTGTGCAAAAAAAAAAAATAAAAAATTATACAACACTTTATTTAATGCAATTTTTTTTATGAGTACATAATAATAATTTCTACATCAATATGGTCTAACATAATAAAAAATTAAAGAATTATATCACCTTATCCCGCTAGTCAAAGCCAAAATCCATCCATGATTAAAAAATCAATCATGAATTTTCGATTACAGTACTCAATTCAACAATGTATGTAGAATTAGTAATACCTAGAATTTCGTACAAGTAATTTTTAATGACACAAATTAGACATTAAGATATAATTGAATATTAGATATTTAATTTTTAAAATATACAAATAATTAAAATAAATCAAAAACACATAATTGTACTAAAAAAACAGAACATTCTTATAATAATTAAGCTTTATCATAATTCAAATAAAAATTGAAACAATCATCAATATCATAACAATAGTAAAATTGAAAATTGACAAGCAAAATAGCTGAATAATTCAAACAAAATTAGTAGTATAAAATTGAAGATCTTATTTATGATTTTTAACTGTAATTGCCGACGGCATCAGTAACATATATATTATTCTTAGACGTGATAAAATAACATAAGCCAAAATGGTGAAATGAAAATTTGAGATGTAAAACAATTGAAAGAGTATAAATATAAAAATAAAAAAATAAAAAATAAATAAAAAAATTGTAAGTATTAAACCTTTTAATCCGTTGAAATTTATTGTGGAAAATATGTATACAGGAGAATCCATCTTTTGAAAATAAAATTTGGGAAGGAAGATAAAAAAAACATTATACTCCTTATGTGTAAAATTGAATTGATGAGTGGGTGAATTTATTTGAGATTATCTACTTCCCAAAATTGAAGGAGCTATTTTCTAGGAGATGATTAAATGTGATTGAAGTTTCAAGGGAGTTAATTAATATTTGCACTTACATATTTACAATGTACGTACATAAATTAATTGTTTTTATTTTTTTTTATTTTTTTTATTTATTATTTGGCACTTGCATTAGCATATGTGGGCTTCAAAATTTGGGGCCCTGGGCGGGCGCCTCGGCTGCCCTGGTCCAAATACGGGCCTGTGCACGGGATATATAAGAAAAAATGTATTTTTTTTAAATGTGGAAAGTTGATTTTGATGTTGTAATTTAGACTTGAGCTGTAATGGTTGGTTTTGGACTGGTCGGTTCTGTTGAACCCTAATTAGCTCTGTTGTACCAAATATTAATAATAATCGTATTAATAATGTGCTGACAACTGATGTGCTATGCTGAAATATGATATTCTAAGCAAAGCTTAGAAGCTCAAAAAACAGGGTCTTACTCTTTTATGTCGGTGGTCACACAATGCTATTATGGGGTTTACTTTTTCAAAGATATAGAGGTTACCCGTTCAGTGTTATAGGGGTTACTTGTGTTACTCAGTTAGTGTCATATGGGTTAGCGTCTTGCTGTAGGAGGTACATAATTTCTATTGTACTGAGTATTAATAATAATCGTATTAATAATGTGCTGACACCTGATGTGCTATGCTGAAATATGATATTCTAAGCAAAGCTTAGAAACTCAAAAAACAGGGTCTTACATTTTTATGTCGGTGGTCACACAATGCTATTATGGGGTTTACTTTTTCAAAGTTATAGAGGTTACCCATTCAGTGTTATAGGGGTTACTCGTGTTACTCAGTTAGTGTCATATGAGTTAGCGTCTTGCTGTAGGAGTTACATACTTTGTTCTGTTGCAAGTAGTTATTCGTTGAGGCCAGTTGCACAAAAACGTGATGTACATTTTCTTTTTGGTTTTGATGATTAAAGAAATGGAAAATGTTTGAGGGTAGTCCCTAAAAAAAATTGCATATAATTGAAGGGTTGGGGATTTAGAGTACTGTAATTGAAGGGTCGGGGATTTAGAGTACATTTTTTTTGGATATGTTATACTACGTACCCAAAAAAAAAAGTGACATGTTAGTAGTAGTCCCATAAAAAAAACAAAAAAAGAAAAACAAAAACAAAAAAGAAATGGTGATTGAGTAGTTATTGTTTTTTTTAAAAAAAATAAAAATGATAAAAATAAAATAAAGTAGTGGGATTGGTAGTTATTTTTTCCTTTATATTAAAAAAAAAAAAAATCTCAAATACATAAGAGTTAAGGATTGGGGATTTGAAGGGCTCTCGTTAAATGACTCTACAATTATAATATAGATGGTAATGTTTTGTTCAGAAGAAGATTGGATAAACATGAAATACTATTCATGCCTTTTTTATGGGCCTAGATCCATCATGTGTATGGCTTAGCCCATTTTAAATTGTGATCAATTTTTTTTTCTAAGGAAACTGTTACATCAACACTCTTGAAGAATTACATCTAAAAGACTATAATGAAATTTCACTCTCAAAATTAAATTTTGATTAGTATCATTGAAATTTACATACAACAATGAATGGATTCACCGAGATGTCCGAGCATAAGGTATAATCATATACTTCGTAATTCAAGTTACTAGAGTATAACCGTGCAATGCACGGGATATATATTTTACAAAATAATATTACAAAAAATCTAATAACAAAAAGTATATTTTAAATATGGGGAGTTAAATTTTATATGGTAACTAACTCTTATATATGGTTGGTGGCCAGCTATTATGGGAGTAATTTTATCAGTTTTATAGGGATTATCCATTCGGTGTTATAAATGTTACCTCGTTAATGTTATAAGGGCTACTCTTTCAGTGTTATTGGTAAGATTGGAATTTCTTGTAAAATATTTAAAAAAAAAAAAATTATATATTGGGATTGTAGAAAACATGATGTAAACATTTTTTTTGTTTCACAAAATTTCACATGTGGCTGGATATACCGTGTTGTCGAGTTATTTGTTTTGTAGTTACTTAAATTATTTGGTCAAAGGTTACTCGATTAGGGGTTATTCGATCCGTTAGTGGTTACTTGGTCACTTGGGGGTTAATCAGTTAGGGGATATTCAATCAGTCAGGGGTTACTAAGTCAAAAGTTACATAGTCAAGGGTTACTCAGTCAGGCAATGATTACTTGTATTTTGTGTGTGTCAGCTGGCCACACGGTATGGCCAGCCATAGAGAAACGTGCTATTCTGATTTTGATAATTGTTGAATGAATAAAAAGGTCGTTATTGAGTGATTTATAAAAATATAATAGAAATACATTTGTTATTTTTTTTAAAGGAAAATAGTGGATCTATGGTGTTTGTATTTTCTTTTAAATGAAGTACACATAATTTAAAGATTGATTTTGATGTGTTATGCGGAAAAGTTAGGAAAAAATGTGCAATGATAATATAGATTCCTTGTAATTTTGGGGTTTATAAAAAGCAAATTGTTTGATGATATATTAAAATAGATAATTTTTTTTGTGTTTTTTTTTGTGATATTGAGTAAAATGGTAGGAAAAAAAAAATAGAAGTGGAAGTTATTTGGAGATTTTTTTTTTTTTTTATAAAAAAGGGTGGAAGTTATTTGAGTGTTGTGCAAAAAAAAAAAATAATGATTATGACCGAAGTTTTGTGTACGATAAGTCATAGGTTCAAATCTCCATCTCCATTTATAATTTGTAATGTCCTATTAACACTTCGCAAAATTATAGAAAAAACTTAAAAATAGTTTATTCTATCTTAAACCGTACTCCGTATTTATTTAATGATAATACAAAAATACTTGATTAGAGTTTTGACAATGTACGATAATTATGTAGTATTTTGGTCCATAATCTTAAAACATCCAATCCAGTTTATTTTGGTCCATAATTTGGGTCTAATAATTATGTAATTGGATGAAACTTGAAAAGATCTTTCCAACGATATATTACAAACCCAAATCCAAGTTATAACGAAGAAATTATGGCCAAAATACTAACTGAGCCTAAATCGAGTCTAACCTACGACCCAATGATCATGTGGAGAGTTCAAAAGCTTAAATCTCATTTCTAAACCAATTAGGATTAATTAGAAATCAAGCCTTATCTACGACCTAATGATCATGTTAACGAATAATTTCATGTTATTTGTTAATTTACGAATAGTTTATATATAATTTGTCAATATATATATATATATGTTGCTTAATACTTCGTATATATTATTGTTATTTGTCCAATAACACCTCATAAACGATGACTGATAAATCAAATAACATTACAGTAGCTATAATATTCCACCATCTGAAAATAACATTTAGCCCAGTAGACTATTGTGTATTCGCACCCTTTAGCCAACAAAATGATGAAAATCACAATAATACCGACTAATCCCAAAAAGTACACTTGAAACCTCCCGGAAAATATTCGACATACGAAAAGGGTCATTACTGCAACCAGAACTAAACCTAATGTGATACTGAACAAGAGAGAATTTGGTCGGAAATTAAAGAGCAAAACCTTGAAATTTGGTGGATTTTTAGCCAAAATAAAAAAAAATTCCTTTTGTCCTAGTACCCTAATTCATTTGAATATTGGTACTTGTATCTATAATGCGGTCCAATTCCAATATTTATGGAATGGAAAAGATAGTTGATGCGGTGTCGAAACGCAGACAAATTAATAATAATTACCCTAAGACTACTCGTTTGTAATTAGCGGAAGTGAATTAAATGATTGGTGTGAGTTTAAGGATAAGAATGAACTACCAAATAAGAACTTAAACTAATAAGAACAATACCAAATAAGGAACTTGAGATACTCAACAACTATATATAGAAATCCACCATGCAAATGTATAATCTCGGATATATTATTTAACCCTTTAGAATAGCTTGACTTATGGAACAAATTCCTCTGTTTTCCCTTATTAATGGTTACATCCCGTACGACTTTCCCTAACCCTAACCAACAGATAACCCCTATATTACGAGCAAGGAATTTAATATGATGCCCTGATGACATCATTAAGAACTGGGAAAACATCAAGCTAAGACAACCACAACACTCTGGAACTTACGTGATTTGACCTCAATCAAGAATTACTTTTCAATTACTATAGTGGAACGTCCTCCTCTACAATTGTTTGCTACTTCATTAATAATGTCCCAAGCAATTACAGACTTAGTAGTATTAATTAGCAAAAGAAATTAAACCCAAACAAATAGTTGTACACCTACTTATAAGAAATCATCATTCGTATGAACAAAACAATAATTCAAGAATACTCCAAAGCTCCAAAGCATTAATCATCAAAACCGACATTACTCGTCTCAAATATTTAATACGTGGCTTCAAACTAATAGTTACTGAGCATAACAAATTAAGGACTCATAACACAAAGATAAGAAAAGAAAACGAAACAAGAACCCATCAAGTTCCTCAGATTCGGATCTGAGCTCCTCTCAGACAGCTTCGAGTTCCTCTGCTGAAATGTATCACAAACTGTGACGAAAAGTCCCCTTCTCTCGCGGCTCTAGTCTCCAGTGTCTCCCTAATTTCGTGGCTTTAAATAGGCTAACAAGTAAGTGGGAATCTTTTAAAGATAAGGAAAGTAATTAGATAAGATTAGGAAAATATATCTTTTTCCATATCTTAACCTATTGATAAGATCTTCTCTTTATTCATACATATCTTTTCCAACTGTTGTAGATCTTGTAAAATATTCCCCAACACTTCCCAAATTCATGAATTCAATGAACCTAGACGAACAAAACGTGCTTAGCAAGCTCTTTTCTTCTTCGTCAGTTTCTCAAGTTCCTCAGAATGAACTTCCATTTGTGCTTCACATTGACTCCTCTATTTGATTCATCTTTTTATCTTCTAAAACCACCCAATAACCTATAAAAAAATACACAAAAGAGAAATAAGCCACAAAATATCAAAAACCTAAATAAAAACACTAAAAATGCTAAAGTAACTAACCCAAAATCTAAGGAACATAGATATAAATAGTGTCGGAAATGACACTCATCAGTGGTGTTAGGAAGCAAGGGCGGACCTTCATTATAGCTGATCAGGGCCCGACCCCTTTTAATTTTTCTAAGTTATTTGTTTTAACTAATATAATGTCTAATAATTACACTTAAAAAGTTATGATATAGTGGTTAAGTATTGTTACTTATTAGCAAAAGGTCCAAGGATCAAACCTTGGCCCCCCAAATTTTTTTGCCCAAGATCCGCCATTGTTAGGTGAAATATTGAATAGTCTCGTAAAATCCCTTGTTTTTTAAAATGTTTTAATAAAAATTATTCATTTTGTATATCGAAAACCATTCACTTCGTGTCTTATTTATGAACAACGTCTAATCCTATTTATTTTGGTCCATAATCTATATCTAATAATTGTGTAGTTGGATGGGGTTTGAAAATAACTTTCCAATGATATATTACAAGCCCAAATTCGAGCTATAACGAGGAATTTATGGCCAAAATACTTAACTGAGCCTAAATTGAGTCTTATCTACGACCCAATGATCATGTGGAGGGTCCAAAGGCTTTAATCTCATTCATAAACCAATTAGGATTAAGGAAAATTTGCAAATTGCAGCCATTTAAAGTACTTATTTTGCAAATTGCAGCCATTTAATTTTTTTTTTTGCAAATTGCAGCCTAAAAGTTCATATAAATTGTAAATTGCAGCCCGATTCAACTTTTTCATCGGTTTACAAGTTGAAAAATCTTCGATTAAGGTTTTAGGGGCCATTTTAATTCTTAGGGATCCGAATTGAGCTCGGAATTAGCAAAAAAATAACGCAAATATCTCGTTTTGCGTAATAAAAGTGTATCGATTTGTGGAAAACTGTAAATATGAGACACTTACGTTATTTTTTTGCTAATTCCGAGATCAATTCGGGCCCCTAAGGACTGAAATGACCCCTAAAACCTTTACCGAAGATTTTTCAACATGTAAACCGATGAAAAAATTGAATCAGGCTGCAATTTACAATTTATACGAACTTTTAGGCTGCAATTTGCAAAAAAAAATTTAAGTGGCTGCAATTTGCAAGATACGAACTTTAAATAGCTGCAATTTACAAATTTTTCTAGGATTAATTAGAAGCTTTTATGAGTTTCTAAAAGATCATATTTATCCTTTTTAAAAACATAAGATTAAAGAGTTTGAAATTGAATAAAACTCATCTTTTTTAAAGTCCTAATTCTATTCGAATTGAATAACGTTCAAAGACAGTCAGATATTATTTTTGTGCCTCAAAATTTTTATCCAAATCTTATATGGTTTGATAGCCCTTGAAATCATCTTTCCATTTATATATTATAATACAACCCGTCTTATATGCGGCCGGTCACACCGTGTGACCACTTATAATAATCCCTATAACGTTGTTTGATTAATTAACCCGAAACCCTTTTAACACTGACCAAGTAACCTCCATTACACTAGCGAAGTAACTTTTATAGTGGCTGGTCACATGGTGTGACCAACCACATATAAGACTTTTGTGATTATCATACTAATTCCGAGATATAACGAAAAAGATATGAAAGAAATACGAAACTCTATTCAAAAATCAAAACTAACATTCTTCCACTATTTCGACCATATCTTTTCTTCTACAAAAGATTTTAATTTGATTCTAAATGGGTTGGAAAGTAGACTTCAAGAGCTTTCTAACAACATATTATATGACATATTTTGACTTATGGATCAAAAGTTAGATAGAAAGAAAATTTGCAAAAAAATGTTTTATTGTGTCGCGATAGAGTCATCGCAATGCGATAAAAGGAATTTTAATCCGATTCAAATTCCAACTCTTTTCTAATCTTTTTGATCATTTTTCACTATAAAAAGAGTCGATTTCCTCCGTTTTCACACTTTAAGCTAAGGCAAGCTCGATTTCCTCCGTTTTCACACTCCGTTTTCAAATTCCAACTCTTTTCTAAGCTTTCTAAGGCAAGCTCGAACTTGCCTTAGACCTTGACGTGAAAGGTTGATAGTTCTGAGGGCTTGTTCTCTCTTTCTTTCTTGATTAGTTTCATGTTATTTGTTAATTTACGAATAGTTCATATATAATTTGTCAATAATTATATGTTTTGATATATATTATTGTTATTGCTTGATCCCGCTCCCTCTTGCAGGTTTAAAGGGAATTTATATTTGAAAGCAATGTTGAATAAGCCTAAAAGGTACATTTGAAACATACATGTAACAACGCGACGGACGACATTTGAAATCTAGCCGGAACAACTCGACGGACAGTAATGGCCATGACTCAAACTTGGAATTTTGAAGCTTTTTTCCTTAAGAAAAAGTGAGATCGAGAGGTTTGAGTTTCATTTGCTTCCTTTCGGATTTGAGGAGAGAGAAAACAAAGGGTAGATTGATGAGCAAGGAAAAGGAAGAAGTAGTGTAGTATGTAGGAGATAGAATAGGAGAAAAGAGCGAGTGTTTATAAAAAGGCCAAAATAAAAGGAAGGGCCTAATACTCTAATTCATTTGAACATTGGGTCTTTTATCTATACTCTGGTCCAATTCCAATATTGTGGAGGTGGTTGATGTGGTGTCGAAACGCAGACAATTTAATAATAATTATCCTAAGACTACTAACTTGTATTTAGCGGAAGTAGCGGTCGATCCCACGAAGAATATGCTTACAAATAACTAAAAATAAAATCCAAAACACTTAACAAAGACTCAAAACAACGAAAGAAATAATTGATGGGAGTTTAAGGATAAGGATCAAATAACAACTAGAAACTTAAACTAATAAGTGATTAGGGGATTTTTATCCACCAATCACCGTCTGACAAGTGGACCAACCAGGTTCCGCCACGTGTCCTTCACGTAGGCCAATAGGAGCCTGCCACGTGTCAATCACAGATACGTCCTCTACGGACCAATTGAGACACGCCACGTGTCCACCCATGCCAAATGGGAAAACCGGCCAACAAGGCCCAATCCTGTTTAGAGGCCCGGTCAGCCCTAGGTTTACCCTAAACCTAGAGAGTGGCACGCTTCTCAAGACTATAAATACTTAATTAATCCTCATTAAAGGGGATCAAGCAATTAATCTCACCTAGAGAGAAGAACAGAACAGAACAGAAACGTTACGGAACACACTAATAGCCGGCTGATCTCGCTAACAAAGCAGATTACCAACATTAAACACTCTCACCTAGAGAGACCTTATTACTTTAATTTCCGCATTAATTACTCCTTAATCAGGTACTAACTTGACCGTTGGAGGCGGAGCTCTCAGGAGTCTCCGTTATTTTGCAGGTACAGGCGTCCGGTTCCAGTCTCGGAATTGTAACTCTCCCGCAGGACATCAGAAAACCCCGAAACAATAAGAACAATAACAGATAAGGAACTTGAGATACTTAGCAACTATATATAGAGATCCACCATGCAAATGAACAAGTTCCTTTGTTTCCCCTTATTAATGGTTTGATCCTGTACGACTTTCACTAACCCTAACCAACAGATTTCCCCTATACTACAAGCAAGGAAATTAACCTAATGATAACATTAAAAAATAGGAAAACATAAAGCCAAGACAACCACAACACTCTGGAACTTACGTGATTTGACCTTAATTACTTTTCAATTAAAAGAGTGGAACGTCCTCCACTACATTTGTTTGCTACTTCATTAATGTTTCCAAGCAATTACGGACTTAGTAATATTAATTAGCAAAAGAAATCAGACCCAAGTAAATAGTCGTACACCTACTTATAAGAAATCATCATTCGTATGAACAAAACAACAATTCAAGAATACTCCAAAGCTCTAATCATTAAAACTAACTTTACTCGTCTCAAAGACTTAATACATGGATTCAAACTAATAGTTACTGAGCATAACAAATTAAGGACTCATAACACAAAGATAAGAAAAGAAAACGAAACAAGAACCCATCAAGTTCCTCGAATTCGGATCTGAGTTCTTATCAGACAGCTTCGAGTTCCTCCGTTGTAATGTATCATGAACTGTGACAAACGACTCCAAACCCTTGAGGGGTTTTGGAGTGAAGCCTCCCTTCTCTCGCGACTCTAGTCTACAATGTCTCCTAATTTTTGGCTTTAAATAGGCTAACAAATAAGTGAGAATCTTTCAAAGATAAGGAAAGTAATTAGATAAGATTAGGAAAATATATCTTTTTTCATATCTTAACCTATTGATAAGATATTCTCTTTATACATATATATCTTTTCCAACTGATGTAGATCTTGTAAATTATTCCCCAAGACTTCCCAAATTCGTGGATTCAATGAACCTAGACAAACAAAACGTGCTCAGCAAGCGCTTTTCTTCTTCATCAGTTTAAGGAACTTCCATTTGTGCTTCGCATTGAATCCTTTATTTGGTTCATCTTTTTATGTTCTAAAACCACTCAATAACCTATAAAAATACACAAAAGAACAATAAGCCACAAAATATCAAAACCTAAAGGGAAATTCTCTTTAGTGAACTCCAACTTTTTCATTTTCTAAGGAAAAAATTGTCAAAAATAATACGAACTTTGAGTGGTCCGCTAAAAACAAGTTAAATTTTTAATTATGTCAGAATAATACAAACTTTATGGAGTATTTTCTTTTAATAGGTTGAATAACCTACAACCTGTTAACCAAGTAAAACTATTTTATTAAGAATAAAAACTAAAACCTCATCCACCGTTAAGCCACCAGCCATACCTTCGTGTCCGGCTACACCCTACAAGCTTAACCAGCACTTCCCTTTTGGCCTCCCCACCCACAAACGATAACCACCCCTAACTCTCATCTCTTTTAATTTCCCAACTCGCTGCTGCTGCACCTCCTTTCTCGCCAACAACAACAACAATTGACGCAAGCAGAGCAGCCGCACCTCTAGCCCGCATCACCAACAGCCACCGCAACTTCCACAAGGCCATCTCACACACTCCCTCAAAATCGCGACTATCCCAGAGTACCCATCTCCTCTGCCCCTCAATAGTAGCTAGCAGCACCAATTCTCGCACCCCTACCTCACAGCCCGCAATTGAGCCACAACAATTAGCAGCAGCCCTCAACCGCCGCACAAACGAACACCAAGCAGCCCCAATTTCAACCAATTTTGGCTCAATGTGAAGAACCCATGACATCAATTCAATAGAGCAATCCCAATTTCGATTCAATCTCAATTATTTTTAGGAATTGGGTTGCACTAGGAATGGGAGTTCAAATGGAGGAGAGAGAGAAGGGTGGTCATTGTTGGGTTAATTTGTTTGTGGATGGTGGGGTGGTATTTGGAGGTGATTTTCGAAAGTGGGAAGTAGCCACATGGTGGCATGGGCAGGGAGGTGCGGGTAATAATGGTCAAAGGTGGTGTTCGAGGGTTGATG